AACTCCGTCTCGACGATGCCCGGCGAGATGAGCGTCACCTTGATTGGCCGCTTTTCAGCTCGCAGCTCTCGTCGAAGTCCCTCGGTCAGAGTGCGCACGGCAAACTTGGTGGCCGAGTAGAAGTTCGTCTCTGGGCTGCCGGGCAATCGGTGACCGGCCATAGAGCCGATGTTGAAGATGTGTCCCTCTGCAATCGCCGACTCGGTCATCAGCTTCACCGACTCGCGAGCCACAATGGACAGGCCGAGGACGTTTACCTCCAGCATCAGGCGCCAGTCATCAGTGTCGCCGGTAGTCAATGGCGAGGTCTTCGCCAAACCGGCGTTATTGATGCAAATGTCCAATCTGCCAAACTTGGCTTTGATCAGACTGAAGACATTCAGAACGGCCGTCTCGTCGCGCACATCGCACTGAACGGGCGTAAAGGAGCCTGAGGAGGCAGTGCCTTTGCCTGGCGACGGAATCGACTGGGCAACTTCGGTTAGCTGCCAAAGTGAAAACAGAATAAAGTGAATAAAGTGGTAAAAACATTAAAAACTGATACCTTTTCAAGATTCCTTGCACAGCCGACAACGTTGATGCCAAGCGCTGCCAGATGCTTGGCCACGGCGGCTCCGATTCCGACGCTACAGCCTGTGATGAGCGCTACACGACCTCGCCAGCGTTCCATTTTTCTTTTAAAGAAAAGAAGGTACAAATGAACTCGTCGCCAGCAACGATCAAAAGGCGATACCTAAATCAGCGTTGACGATGAAAAGAAAAGTTTGATAAAGAAAGTTGTGTGCTGTGATTTGTTTTGTTTTGGTAAACGACAACAGCAGCGCTGTTGCACTGCGATTTTTTCATCTGTGCTCACTAGGTGGCTGCGAAGATCCGGGAAAAAATCTGCCTTTCTCTGTCTGTTTATTGAGTTTCAAAAGTGTAATAAAAAAGCCTCCTTCTTTTCAGTTCAAGATTTTTTCTCCACAGAATTGGACTTTGACACGTTTCGATTGGTCACCTTGCTTTGAGCGTGTTTCTTTTTAGAGAGATTGTCTTCCTTCGGCGTCAGATTTGATGTGTAGCTGCGAGAGAAGCTACAAGTGCTGCTGTTGATGCTGCTGCTGTTGCTGCGACCGATGCTGCTACCACGTCTGCTGCTTCCGCAGTTGCTTCGAATGCCTAGTCGAGACTTGCTAACTTGGGTGCTGCTTTGTTGCTTTTTCAGGCCACTGGGGCTGAGACTGTTGCTGTTACTACTACTGCTGCTACTTCGAAGATCACCACGAGCTCCAGAGCTTTTGAGGCGGCGAAGATTCTTCTGGTTCTGGTGCCCCGATCTGGCGGACTTGAAGGTCGACTTCTGAGTGGTCAAGGGCGTCCCTTTAGAAGGTCTTTGGCCACCGGCGCCAATCAACGCCACCTGATTGCGCATCGTCTGCTTCTCGCGCAGATTCTCGATGATCTTCTTCATGTCGACGGCCACCTTGGGCGCCGGTCCGGGGGCCATCTTCCGGTGGGCAATGCGCTCCGATGCGCTGCCGCTGCTGCTGCTGCGACTGTTGATGGTGGCGGCGGCGGTTATCGGTAAGCTCTTCACCGGTTGGGGAATCTGCTTGCGCACCATGTACCCCTTTGTCTTTGACTCGATGTAGTGAATGTTTTTCACCTTTAAACTTGATGGACGACGGCCGACCACCTCCTCTTTTTCTTCTTTATTTCCTCTTTTAGGTGTAGAAGTCTTCTTTTTGGGGCTCACCGTCACGGCAACCTTTGACTTCTCTTTGGGTTGAATGCTTTCTACCTGTGCCCCTTTTGGCTGGCCTTCTTTAGCCCCCTCTTCGGGACTGCCACTGCAACACTGACCCATTTTCTGCCGATGTTAGACGAGATTGAGCGGTGAAAACTTTACAGGTAAATCACAAAAAGTAAGTAATGACGAACAATCAACAGCGACAGTTGTGAAACTTTTTATGACTTTTTATTTAGAACTATCTTCATTGTTGCCTGCGCGTGAATAATAGAACAAAAATCTATTTGTAAAGCTCTGCGTTTTATAAACTTCTTTTCAGTCAGGAGCTATTCGAAATGGCAGCCATGTCTGAAAAACCTGATAAGGAGCAGCAAGTGCCCTTTCCCCCAAATGCACTGGAGATCTTCTGCCGTCTTCGAGCACAGCCGAGCACAGAGAATGCCGCAGAGAGCAACCCGTTGATACATCGACAGAGCGACACCGTCCTCTCCCTCCGGCGCGCCAACTCGCCCAACACCGAACAGCAGTTCACCTTTGAGCACATCTTCGACGTGGACTGCAGCCAGCGACAACTCTTCCACCGAGTGGCCGCACCAAAGATTGCCGCCCTCCTCTCGGGTGAGGGCGACGGGCTGATCTTCGCCTATGGCACCACTGGCTCGGGCAAGTCCTTCACCATTGGCGGGCAGCCGGGGAAGCCAGGACTGGTGCCAAACGCCATTGCCAGTCTCTTCAGTCAGCTCGCTGGTCGACTGAGCACTGCCAACATAGTCGACGATGGACTGAATTACTACACCATCGAGAGTGGTGGCAGCTTGCCAAATGATGCTGATGAAGACGATGGTGGAAAGGGCATCATTGAAAAGTGGCTCGCATTAGCTACCAACTTTGTTGTTGATGAGGCAAAGGTCGTCAATCGCATTCAAAGACGCCGCTACGCTGTCTTCATCAGCTTTGTGGAGATCTACAACAACTACATCTACGATCTGCTGAAAGGAGGTGGAAAACCGCCAGGTGGTCCCGGTCAGCAGACAATGACACCAGTGGATGTCGGTGTTGACGGGCGTCGTCGACCTGCTCTGCAGCTTCGACTGGACGTCGGCCGCTCGACGGTGGCCACACACAAGAGCACCAACTTTTCAGTGTACGCTCACGGCGCCCGACAGGTGCAGGCAAAGACGGCCAAACAGGCGATGCGACTCTTTCTGCAGGGACTGGCAAACCGACAGACTGCCGCCACCCAACTGAACCTCACCTCCAGTCGATCCCACTCAGTCTTCACCATCAAACTGGTCAGCTACGAGGAGCCTCAAAATGCAGTCATTCAACCTCAACTGTTCACGGTGAACCAGCTGAGCGTCGTCGACCTGGCCGGAGTGGAGCGCAGCAAGTGGTCCAAAGTGAGCGGAGCGGCGCTTGCCGAGACGTCGAACATCAACAACTCACTGCTGACGCTGCGCAACTGCTTCCAGGTGATGCGACTGAATCAGCAGCAGCAGCAGCAGCAGGCAAGTTCGTCAACACGTTCAGCCGCCACTGCTGCCGTTGTGCCCTACCGAAATCACAAGCTGACCTACCTGCTGAAGAGCTTCTTTGAGGGCGGCCAGTCGAACATCAGCATGATCATCTGCCTGAATGCATTGGCTGACGCCGAGGAGAACGCTCAGGTGCTCGCTTTCTGCAGCAAAGCACAGGAGGTGCTCATTGTTAAGCAGCAAAAAGAGCAGGAGAACTTTGAGGTGGACGAAGAGGTGCTGGTGGATGCAAATGATGACCACCTGACGTCAATTGTAAACAGCTTTACTCTGACTCGTCCTCATGAGGGCAAAGCAGAGCCCCTGGAAACAATGACAACCAGCGCCGACTTTGCTGCCTTTATCAGTCAGACCGAGCAGTACCTGAGTGCACATGCCAGCGAAGCTACCTTGCTGATAGACACTTGGAACCAAAGCAGTAAGTGGGAAAAAATGGCATCAGATCTGCTGAAAAACTGTAACATCTTTTTTTCTTTCTTCAGTGCAACAGTTGTCTGACTTTCTGAAACGCTACCCGCCCGAACGCCAGGATCTCCGACAGTCCTTCTGCCTGAACGAGCGTACCTTCTACTCGCTAAAGACGTCCGCTCGCATCGTCTCTCTGCTGAAGCCGCCACCAAAAGGCCGCAAAGGCTGTGGTCGAGCTTCCTGTAAGCTGTACCGCGCCAGACAACTCCGCTCCGAACTGAGCAGCATTACTGCTAATGAAACGCCCATCATTCTCTCTCGAGGGCCACCGAGTACTGCTGCTGTGCCTGGCGGTGGCAGTGTTGCAAATGCCAACGGCAAGCTGAAGAACTCTCAGCTGCTCTACCAGAGCAACGCCCACCTTCTGAGGGAGCTCACGCGAGAGCTGACCAGTTGGCAGGCGGCCAGTGTGGACGCCGCCATGAAACAGCAGGGCGCCAGAGCTGAGCTGGCCGTCTACATCAATCGAGGCAACAAAGGTGGCGGCGGAGGAAGCGTGGGAGCTGGTGTTGGTGGCTCAGTGAAGAAGAAGTTGGACGTCTTCAATCGACTGTACCTGCAGACGCCTGCTCGCTACAAGACCGCAGCTGCAGGGGTTGCCAGAACTAGAGCAACAGCCAACAACAACAGAGGCAAAGTGTCAAAGTTGTGCGCCTTCTTCACGCCGCCCTCATCGGCGCAGCAGCCTAAAAATGCTACTACTACCACTGTGGCTGCTTCTGACACCGGCGGCAATTCTACGCCTCGCAAAGCCCATCCTTCAATGGCCGCCTCGAAGACTGTTGTCCAGTCCATGTGCAAGCGGTTCAATGACATGTAAGCTCTATTCAGCATACTTTTGTTGCATTAAACTTGCCAAACTGGACGTGACACGTTTATAAAAAATACTAGTGATTGCAGCTATGAGTGAATGAGGAGAAAGATAAACCAAGTAATTGACCCAAGTTGAGTTAGTGTTTGTTTTGAAATTTGAAACAGATCAACCAATCTTGAACTTCAACGTAGACACTTACTCACTCAGTGCAAAGCCATCATCAACACAGAATTTGAGTCATTGAGTCAATCATTGTTATTGAAGAAGAAAGTCAGATTTCTGATGTATGTAGAGTCATCATGAAATACAGCACCAGCGTTTTTCACGACCAAAATAAAACTTGTTTTTTTTCTTTTTAAGCATTTGTTCTTCTGAGCGGTTGTTCCACTCCGCTTCTAGCTTTTCACGTTCAGCCAGTTCACGCTTCTGGAGTTCCATGCGCTCTTCCGCTCCTGCCTTCTCACGTTTCTGGCGGTCCAGGTACTCTTCATACTTTTTGTCCTCAGTGGCCCCCTTTTGACCCTCCGCCACCACGTCTCTGTAGTTTTCGTTACACCATCTCGAGTTTTCTGTGAAAGTGGAAGACAAAACAAGTGGTGGTGAGTTAAGTCAGTGGAGAGATGGGAAAGTGTTTCATCAGGGGCCGAAACAACGGTGTCTCACCTATGCACAAGCTAGCTTTCCTGGACATGGTCGGAAGTTTGGAAATTGAAGGTAGCTCAGTTGAAGATGCAGGAGTGTACAATGGTGTTGGCAAACCAGAAATGATGTGTTGATCAATTGGTGTTCAGAGGGAGAGTGACCAGACACTGCTGTGCACTGATGGTAATAGCTAACTATGACAGCCCCGTCTGATGCCAGCTCAGTCAGCAACTTGAGATTTTGTTTTCGATCTACTCAGTCTGCTTCTTTTCTACTGGCATGTTTTTACTCAATCAAGAACAATTAAACAAAACTGATCTTGCTTCTTTCAAAAGTCCTTGCATGAATGACACTAACCGAACACTGATGTGACACGCAAAAAATGTTACTTTGCAACTGTTGGAAGGCAATGCTTGCAAGTTCTAAAATCATAGAGGCTCTAAAACCTAACAGCAACAAATGTGAAAAAGTAAAAAGAAAAGAAAAAGAAAATATAAAATACTGTTTACATTTTAAGTATTCAAATCATAGTTTTAAAATAGTAAGGTAAATCATTACAAAGGCTCAACGCGAATGCACATATTTAACGATTTTTTCCAATGGCTCACTCTAAAGTTGCTTGGCTGACCTTTAACACCCGCCAACTTGAGACTTGCTCACTTCGCTCGCGACATTTGTATCATTTGAGCCATCACCTTTTCAAAGAAATAATGACGTTTATGTATTTTCGCAAAATCAACAAGTTTTAAAGTTTTACAAAACATATTCAAAATTAAAATAGTTGTGTAGAATTTTTTTAGACAAAAACAAAAACAAAATTTTAAGTTGGGAAAAAAACAAAAAATAAAAAAGTTGCAAAGTTTGATAGTTGAACATTAGAGTTGCAAGGCTGGCATTTTAAATAAAAAAATAAAACAACAAAAACTTTTACTTATTCAAATTATGCAATTTTTTAAATTTTGACAAACACACTAAAAAGTCATTACTCATTTCAAAGATAATTTTCAAGGGAAAAGTTAGCATTACAATAAACAGAAAATTAACATTACCAAATATTCATAAAACATTTTACCGAAAACTTGTAATCATGGCTAGCCGTCTAGCCGGCGGTTTTGTGAATCAACTTCATTTCACTTGTCATCAATCGCTCAAAGTGTTAATCCACGCAGCAATGCCGTACAAAAATATTGCCTATTACCGTCGTTACTTTGCCACGGTAGAGCAGGTAACAGTACAGCAGGACAACCGTACAATTGGTCTCTACAAGTTGGGCGCTTCTTTGATGATCTACATTGCTTTTCTCAATTTGATCCACTTTTTTGCACCTTTAAAGTACTACACGCGAGTTTTGCTTTATGATTTTGTGACAATCATTCAAATGGACGCTCAAATCAATTTAATTTTTTCCGGTCTCACCTTTTACGCAATTTTTCTCAATCATGCAATGTACTTCAGTATGAATCCCACAATGTTTGCCTTTGCCAAAAAAGCTTTTACTGAGTGCCCCGGTTTTATTGAAAGTAGAAAATCTACCCAGTCATCAGCAAAATCACCAATAACAGGTTGCACTAAACTAACTATTTTAGGCAATCAAAACGTTCTTTTCGGCAAACTGGCACTTATGATTATTAACTCACTGCAAATTTTTGTTCTAATTGCCGAAACAGGCTGTCTATTTTGTTTTCTGCTTTCAATAGCCGTTTTTATTCAGCAGTGCGTCCCTGATTTTCGCAACCTAACCTTGGGCTCGTTTCTTCTGCATCTCCTTCTCCTGCTTCCCTTTCACATTTGTCACATTTTTCTTTGCATGATCTCCTGGTTCACCTTTGCCAACGGGTTAATTCTCTACGCAGCCATAGGAACGAGCACCCTCACGGCGCTGTACTTGTTCTTTTGGCAGCACTATCGCCGACTGAAAAAAGTTTTAACTGCTTTAAAAAAAGAAAAATTTTCAATTAAAAGAGACGTGAGTTTACTCGGTTTGCTTCGTTGCAATGCCGGCACTTACTTTAGTCTGGTCTTTGCCTTCTCCGACTTTTATGGGTGGCACTTCTTGGTGTACTTGGGCTTGCACGCGCCTACCTCGGCCTACTTTACAATTCAAATTGCTTTTGGTTGGACGAACAGCCTGTCAAAACTGATGATGTTAGGTTTGATTGGGGAGGCCATTGTAGGAACGCTGTTCCTGCATCTCTACGCAGCGTATTTTACCGCCTACATTCACCGAGGAGGAAAGATGCTGCTGCAGTTCAATGCAGTGACTAGCTTAAAGAGGAATGTACTTTTATTGCCGAGAACTCAGCTGCTCACCTGGATACACCTTCAAAGGCTATGGGTGCGCCATAAGTATGGGCCAACCTATGGGGGTAAAAGTTGAAATTGAGTGTTGTGAATTGAATAGTTAAAAATTGTTTTTATTGTCAACAGATTTTGGACTTATCAGTTTATCGGCTTTTGGAAAAGTATCTGTTACTGTGTCTACGATTTGATTTCTTTATTAATTTGTTTATTGTTTTTAGTTTGTTCTACTTTTTGGTGAGCTTCTTATGGCCTCGTACGGGCTAGTTCGCAAATGAAAATTAGCATCAAAATCAGTATTTGCAAAATTTGACTTTAAAACTGGACACCGCGTAAACTTTTAATGTCATCAGACACAGACACAGCAGCAAAACGTAAAAGTTAAATTTTATTTAAATTTTAGTTTTTTGTAAAAACTTTATTGTGTTTTGGCACCACTATTTCTTACGACAATGTAAGCACCTGAACACCTGTTTTCACTGCCTCTTTCATTTCCATTTCTTGGGTTTCATTGACATTTTCAATAAAATACCGAAAAACGTCTTCTCCTGTTACGATAGTGCCGTACAGTGTTTGTTTGGCGCTGTCTTTTGTTAAATTGTTGTTCTGCTCTAGTCTAGCCCAAAACATGCGCTTTGATTCGTACTTTGAAAATAAGTAATATCCAGCTGTGATAGCACCCAGCTTGTCGGCATTTGATTGGCTGTACGGTGTCCAACGAAAACGAGCTGTTACTTCGGGTGAAGAGCTGTACAGTACGTGATATGGCGCTTTTGTGTACAAATTGGGTTTTTCAGTGCCGACGTAGAAGAGGTTGCACTCTGGATCACTTTTGCTAATGTCCAACTTTTTAGTAATTAAAAACAAGTTAATTTTAAAATAAAATAATTGATAACAAATCACTTACAAAACCGGGTCTATAGTTTTGCAAAAAACCCTGACCTTCGACATTGGCTCGGCACAAATAGCGGCGATTCTGCTCTGTTTGCAGTTTGTTTGAACTTTTAGATGGATTTTGGATTTTTACAAAAACGGGACCATCTGCCATCAGAGAGCCTCCCCAACCTTTACCCCAGTAGGGACTTTTTCTAACAGCTAAAAAAGTTTGTTAGTTTAAAATAAAACGTTTTAAAATAAAAAGATATTTTTTTCTTACACTTTCGAAAAACCTTCCAACTAGTTGTTTCTTTCTTTTGTTACTCGGATAAAAATCCTGTTCTAATATATTGGAGAAAAAGTGCAAAGCTCCAATCAGTTAGAAACTTGATTCCTAATATATTGGAGACATGCAGTTTTGAATGGCCAATATAACTGAGGTTTTTAGAAAAAAGTTCCTAATACTTTTGAAACAATTTTCAATTTTTTTAGGAAAAAACTTCTAATTACTCCAGTCATA